ATCTTAGAAAGAAAAGCAGGATCTGAAAGATTGGCCATTCTGAAGTTTACAAGAATAACCTGAACAAATTTAAAATCAAGGAAGGCTACATACAGTATTCTGCAGAGACGTAGAACAGGGCAAGTGTCAGAGGCGCCGAACTGAGAAGGCACCAAAATAAGGCTGAACAAAAATTATATAGGGCTTCCAAGTAGGACCTTTTTGGTGGAGTACTCCAGTCAATAAGTATAAAGTATAAATTATAGCATACAGCTAAAGCAAAAATATGGAAATTGGCATTGAAAGGAAAATATTTTCAACACAGTTTTATTTTGTGTGGTGTCTTTGCTTTGTGTGATTGGTTTTTAGCTGATTTTAGTTATTGGTATTTGTGAAGTGCCTAGATGATAGCAAATATACTGTAGGATCATGATGGTAGCTGAAACAAAGGATTATTTAAGAGAGCACAATCTCTTGGAAACTTTAATAAGTGGAAAAGAAATACTTAGTTGAGCAGCTGATACGATACTTTGTCTATACCAGGATCTTATTTTTTTATATTAATTCTTTTACAGTGTCAATGAAAAAATTATAAGAATTGTTTCAGTTCATAAGTAAACTGAAATCACTATCTTAACTGGTGTGTGATAGCAGTGTTAATTGCAAAGCAACTTGCTTTGTGGTATACTGTAAACTGCTTTCTGGATTATAAAATATTTTATATTTTTACCAAAAATTTTTTTTAGAGAAAAGATTCAGTAAAACATAAAATTAATTGGAAATGTGTTGCAAGTCTAAATTTAAATGTATTCCTGTATTCATTACTGATTCCCTCCCACCCCGACCTTGAGGTTGACAGATTAAAAAGGGACTGCAGCGACACTCGCTCCCAGGTGACAAGACTATAATCGTAAACACTAACAAAAAATTCATCTGTCTTGTTTGTAAAATAAATTTATTCTAGTATCAAATATTTAAATTCCCTCCCCATCCTATTAAAAGTAAATAAAAATCAAGACACAAGTTCCTTAGGTGGTGGCCGTGTTGGTATTTTTCCTAACGTAAAATGACTGGCCTCAAACTGTTCCCTTTCTTCCTTTGTAAGTTTGTCCATTGGTGTATAAATATTACTGTTTCCTGGTACCTGGGAATGTGTATTGCCAGGTGCTGCCTTGCCAAACAGTCCTGGGGCTGCAAATGCAGATGTTGCAGGTTGAATTGGCCCCTTGCCGAATGTTCCTGCGTTTGAATTATTAGCTGCAAATGGATTAGCTTTATCTGCCATAGATGGTGTTGATGGTGTAGAACCAAATCCTCTAACAGAGTTTTGTCCAATTGTACTGGAACCAAACACATTTTGAGTTGCTGGCTTACCACCAAATACACCTGTTGATCCCAACCCTCCTGCAGTTGCTCCTCCAACACCAAATCCTCCAGATGACCCAAATCCTGAACTGCCAAACCCACTACTTGATCCAAAGCTATTGGTGGAAGCAGTAGATCCAAATGTGCTAGATGAACCTCCACTGGATCCAAAAGCATTACTAGTAGAACCGAAGTTGCTAGATGTACCACCACTGGATCCAAACAGATTGGTAGCACTAGAGCCAAATGTGCTAGATGTACCTCCACTAGATCCAAAACTAGACGTTCCACTACAAAAAAAAAAAAAAAAACCCCACCAAAATATCATTTGGAATTCACCCCTGATGGTAATGCCATACAAAAACTATTACAGAAATTGTATATAAAGACTTGAGAATATTGATACATAATTAACACAATAAAAGTAAATTTTGTGAAAACAAAAAAAGCGCATTAAAATAAACACGTACTGTAATTGGTTTTCAAGCACTTTACCACACAAAAAGTCAGACAACAGCAGCACATATTTTGAAACGTATTTTGCTTTCACGATCTACTTTCACTGTGTTAGTTTGTGATATGAGCGACGATTTGTTGCCTGCACTGAGATTCAGGAAATTTATAGAAACTTTTTTATAGAAATTTTAAGGACCTGCATATAGTTATCTGTTGAATAAAGGTAACATTTTCTATATAATATCACTTTTTTTACGTCTGTTTAGTGATGATCACATTGGACACTTATTTTATATTTAC